TATTAGCAACACCCTTCTTAGAATGGTCTGTTTGAACGGTCTTATTGTCTACATTTTGTGAAAACCCGGATTATGGTTCATTTGTGGAATGTGTGATGATAGCAAACCCGTAGTCAATGATTTATTAATATTAATAGTTAAAAAAATCAACAAACCACCACATTCGGTGCTTAGCACCCGACAAATGTATTTTTAACAAATTCTTTCCAAAACTCATGAAGGTCTAAGTAACATCGGTAATTGAACCTTAACATTATCTTCAACAAAAAAATAATAATAATAAATAGAATATTTAGTCAACATTACTTTCCCAACATATATATTCAGATACATTTTCCCAATATATATACTATGAATAGTATGAACCATAAATTATATATTTAACTATAACCATATTTATCTAGGTTTCTATTAAAAACACCAGCATAAATCACTTAACCATAGAAATTAAATATCCTCCTACTCTTAACCATAAACGAGTTCAAATACGATACATAGGCAAAATGTTACCCATTAACTTTAAACACTACAAACTTAAAATGATAACCCAATATTTCCATCAACAAAACGAAAAGTAGTCTTCGCAAAACGAAAATAGCTTTGCTTAGACATGATTTTATATCCACAATAAGTACATGTTCTCAAGATATCCCCAATCGTTTTTACCATTGATCAATTTATAAGAAGCATCTTCACCCCGCATTTTGGTCTAAAACTTCCATGAGGTTCTCCATTGCTTCCCAAAAAAAAAAAAAAAAAAAAAAAAAATTCACTCTACATTATTTGAACATGAGAATACAACATGAGCTCCCTCTTGGAGAAAACATTATAAAAAATAGTGTGCATTTAGATAGAAAAAATTGTTCAAATATGTTAAATATTGTATTCTTTGTATAAAAAAATGAAAGCCGATAAAAAGTGAGTGTTCGTTGTGAGTGTGGATATGGATATGGGTGGGACTAGGGGTGGGTGTGGGTCGAGTGGGTTTGTGTGAGTGGGAGTGAGCATGGAGCGGTGTGGGTGGGTGGGGGTAGGTGTAGGTATTGGTATGGGTATAAGGAGTAGCAAAGCCATAATGAAAATTAACAAGGTCAATTATATATAAATAACTAAAAACAATAAAAAATAAAAAATTCTAAATTTTCAAGATCTTTTTTTGGATTTTTTTTTTAGCAAAAGAATGTCGAAGACGGGTTGTTTCAGCAATGTGTGGGTGGGTATGGGTGTGGGTGAGAGCAGTCGTATGTATGGATAAGTTGGGGTTAGGTAGAATTGGTAATTTGATACACGACCCAAGTGATACGATACGAGTTTTTTGTGTATGGGTTCTAGAAATTCGTGTTTTGTGTCGACACAAATTCTAAATTCGTTTTTCATGTCTTACATGTGTCAAACACGAATTTACATGTTTAAATACGTATAAGACACGAATTAAATTTGTGTTTACCCATGACATGTATATACACGTATACATATGAATGAAATGCATGCTTTTCTAGCTTAAAAAATGGTATTAGACAATGTGTGTATAAATCTGTGTTTTCGTTGAACACGGTTAAAAAAATGTACATTCGTGTCATGTCACGTGTCACATGGATTAATTGAGTGTCGTATTCATGTTTGATACCCAAAACACGTTTTACATATTGTGACGTGTTCGTGTGTACAAATTCACATCGTTTAAATTCGTGTATGACAGATATACACGACATAGAAACACAAATTGTCAAGACTAGATGGGGTTAGGTACAAGGGTGGGGTTGGGTGGTGTGGTGGATTGGGGGAATGTTCAGGGTATGGTAGGTGGGGTGTGAGCATTGTTGTAAAAATCCAGATTAATCTCCGATTAATCCTTAGGCGCTACCCGAACGATTAGATGGCACCTAATGGTTAATTTATGCCTACATAATGAGTGAATTAATAGAAAACGATGAAATTTTGATGAAGAAATTTTATCTCAATAAAACTATTTGAGGAATGACTAGTGTTGTATTAAGCATATTAACCTATTGTAATATGATATTAAAGGTATTTACGAACTTTGTTGTGATATTAGTCATATATAATTTATTTAAATTCAATGAATTACAATTTATGGACCCCGATTAATTTCCGCCTAACCGATAAATCTCTTAACCTCAGTCCACCAACAAGCCAATATCGAGCGTTTTTTTACAACCTTTGGTTTGAGAGTGGGTGGAGGTGTATTGGTAGGCGATGTTTATATTTTAGAAAACTTTTGAAATTGGAAAACGAAGGGTAGTTATGGATAGGGGAGGTGAGGTATAGGTATAGGTGGGTACGGATGTGGGGTGGGGGTGAGTTTGGGGTTAGATGTTAAGGTGTATAGGTGAATGGACAAATGGTTGTGTCGTTGTGTGGATAGGGGTGAGGTGATGGGTTTTATGGGTGGGTATGGATATGAGTATGGCCATGTAGCTAAATTTTGGGGTGTATAGGTGAGTTTGTTGGTATAGTTTGGGGTGCGGATAAAAAAATGTGGTGTGTAGATAAGGGTGGGTGATAGACTTGGTGCTAGATGTATATTTATATTCTAGAAAAATTTTGTAATTGGAAACTATGAAAAACAATAATATTTTAAGTTGTTTGTAATTTTTGAAAATGAAAAATTCTCATTCTCTTGAAAAAAAAAAAGGAAAATGACTTATTAAGGTAATTAACTTTTCGGTATGGTTACATTTGGGTAACTATCTTTTTTTTATACACATCTAGGTAACAAACATGTTGGAAGTGTTCACATATGACCATTATGACCTGTTGTAGCAGGTTAAATCGTAGATGTGAACACTTTCAACAAGTTCGTTACCTAGATGTGTACAAAAAAAATAGCTACCCAAATATGAACAAAACGAAAAGTAAGAGTAAATTACACGAATGGTCCCTGTGGTTTCGGGGAATTTATGTTTTTGGTCCCTAACTTATTTTTTTAACTCGGATGGTCCATACTGTTTATTTTTGTTACATGTTTGGTCCATGTCTTACCTAAAAAGACTATTGTGCCCTTATTAATTTATTTTTTAACTAATTTTCTTATTTATGTATTTGTTTTTTATCTATTTAAAAAAATTAATAGGCCCTACATATCTGTATCTACTCGGATGATCCTTGCCGTTTATTTTTTAATTAATTCATTTTTTTTGACTCAGATGATCCCTACTGTTTATTTTGTTACGCGCTTGGTCCCTGTCTTACCTAAAAAGACTATTGTGCCCTTATTAATTTTTTTTTAAAATTAATTTTCTTATTTATGTATTTATTCTTTATATATTTAAAAAAAATTAATAGACCCCACATATATGTATCTCCTCACCATCTCATCTCTCATCCTCCTCAACTTCTATTTATTTTCCATCTTTCTATTTATTTTCCATCTTTAGTGATATGGACGTCTTCACCATCCCTTCTTTTTTCGGTCCTTCAACTCCGTCGAATCAACACCACACCCCACTAAAGATGAAGAGACAGTGGATTATGGTGTTGGTTCGCCAGAGTTGAAGGACCAAAAAAAGAAGGATGGTGAAGACGTCAATGTCACTAAAGATGGAAAATAAATAGAAGTTGACGAGAATGAGAGATAGTATGTTGACCGGTGAGACCCAAATGAAATTTCTCAAATGTGGTTTCAGGTTTACGGTGAGGAGATACAGACATGTGTGGTCTATTAATTTTTTGAAATATATAAAAAATAAATACATAAATAAGAAAATTAATTAAAAAATAAATTAATAAGAGCACAGTAGTAAACGTGCAACAAAAATAAACAGTAGGGACCATCCGAGTTAAAAAAAATAAGTTAGGGACCAAAAATACAAATTCCACGAAACCACAGGGACCATTCGTGTAATTTACTCTTACTTTTCGTTTTGTTTATATTTGGGTAATTATTTTCTTGTACACATCTAGGTAACGAACTTTCAACGAACTTGTTGAAAGTATTCACATCTAGGATGTAACCTGCTACAGCAGGTCATAATGGTCATATGTGAACACTTCCAACAAGTTTATTACCTGGATGTGTACAATAAAAAGATAGTTACCCAGATATGAACATACCGAAAAGTTAATTACCTTAATAAGTCATTTTCCCGAAAAAAAAATGCTTAAAGAAACTGTTAAATTAAGAAAAAAAATTCAAAATTTTCATTTTTCTATGAAAAAATTTACCTTTTCCGTAATTAAACACGCCCTTAATATCTCTCTCTGTTGTCCTAAAATATGCAATACCTTTTTTTATTCGATTCCCAATATTTGATAAATTGAAAAAAATATATAAATATGATTGTGTCAAATCTTTCACTTTCAGAAATTTTAAACAAGGTTATCTCAAAAGAGAAAAACTCAACTACGTGTTAATTATTTTCAACATAAATAGTGCAAAGATATCAGATTCTGTAGATACCCCACTTTCTATGGTGCTGGACACCCACTCTCTTTTGGTATTTTCTGCAAAATTCATCCATTTCATACTTGTTACTCCCTTCTTTCAATTTTAGTTTTAAGATACTACCTCATCATAATATCACCAACTGAACTTTGTCCCAATGCTATCATTTCAGTCTTTCAAATCTGTTGTACCTTCCTCTATTATTTCTTTTTTCTTTAAGCAAAAAAATAAATGCATAGTACACTTCCACTTTGCATTATTTGTTACATGAGGACTTGACTAGACAATACTAAAACTCAACGAATGTTTTATGCTACATTCTATTACAAAAGATCAATTCAAAAACAAAAACACAGTACCTATCTCCTACCTAACTTCATAAAGATTTTAGTCGACTTGGAAATTAGGGTTAGGAGATAAATGGAATCAAAGCGTGGTGTCCAATCATCAACCAAAACCTAAAGTGATGTGATATTCCACTTATTCTACACATATAGAATAAGACCTCACAAAGCATTCACAAAGTTACAAGCTTTTACAGTATAAATTTCAAGAATCAACTAATAGTGATAACATAATATACGAGATAGATGTCATCCAAAGAAGAATACACAAGTAAAAGAAAAATAAAAAAATCTATTCCAATTGTTCTTAATTCTTATTGTACGTACCTATAACAAACACATACCACCAACCAACACAAAGAACAAGATAAACGACATATTATCAATAAACACCAAGAAAAATAATAATAATAATAATAATACCACTTTTACTGCAAAACTTTCCAAGAAACTCACCTTCATGTCACATGTGTCATGGTTATTGAGTTCTCCCCTGTTGTTGCTTTGTACTGTTCTCTGTAGGAAGATAAGAACCAGATTCACCACCAGTCATGGTCTGATATTGGGCAGTAGATTGAGGCGGCATAGGCTGAGCTGCATAGTATATATGCTGTCCCTGTGCAGGGTCACCATATTCATATCCATAATTACCACCACCACCAGAGGCGGAGGAAGCTACAGATTGTGGCGGCGGGTGGTGGAGCTGTGAATAGCCGACATACTGAGGCTGGTGTTGGCTTGAAGGAACTTGGACAAATTGGGAATTCCCGGAATTTGTCGTTCCATAAACTCCGGCGGGTAATTCGCTCTTGGCGGCAGTTTGAGGAGCTCTGGCGGTGGTGTAAGCCGGAGGTGGTGCTTGTTGGGCGGCAGTTGCAGGTGGTGCTTCGGCATAGCTAGTGGGTTGTTGCTGTAATTGGAGGTTGTATCCATGGGGAGGTTGCCTTGTGGCAGGCATGTAATACACAAAGTTTTGTTGATCGAGGGGTGGGTGGTGAGGGTGGTGTTGGTTTTGAGATGGGTACATTTGGTAGTAAGATGCCATGGGAACTGCACCGGATGGGTGGTGGTGGATGTATTGTGGTGGTGGAGCGGCGGTGTGGATGAATTGTGGTTGTTGTTGCTGTTGTTGATGGTGGAGTGGAGGATGCTGAGGATCAACTTGGTTGTTTGACATTGACATTATATAAGCAGACTCTGGAATTTGTTGTTGTTGCATTTGGATTCTAGTGTTTTGATCTGAGAGGCTATTTGGATCAGATCGATTGTTGTTAGAAGATTGGATTTGTACCAATGGATCCTGGTACATCATAGGCGGTTTTTGTCTTCCGTCACTGCAGTTCATACATATGAAAAACTTAAAATTCGTAGCAAAATCCGAGATCAATTTCACTTGGGAATTTCCACAAACAGTTGGCATGCACTGGCTATGCATTGGAAACAAATAAGAACAAATGGGAAAGGGGATTGAGAAATACCTTGAAACAGAATCTGAAGAGGCCAAATCGAAGCCCATAGACTGTTTTTGCTGCTGGTATTGCTGTTGCTGTTGCTTTTGATAAGCAATTTGAGAGCCCTGATCGGATCTCTCATCCTCGGATAAAACTCGGTTTGGGTAATCTACCGGCATCGCCGCCGTAGAACTCAACGGCACACCCGTCACAACCGTCGAAGCAGGAGCAGCCACGTAAACTCCATCATCTGGATGTTTGTGGATTTGTTGCTGTACACTCATCTGAGAAAACTGCTCCTCAATTCCTCCAACCTTTAAACTATCATCCACATGTACTCTAATCGGCGGTAAGCTAGCCAACGACGGAGATGACGAAGCAGACCCAAACGATGACGTCCTCTCCAAGTCGGGCACCGAATGAACATCCTGTGCAGAAGTATTACCTTTGGGATTTTTGCCGATTATACCCTTCTGATCAGCATCTTTTTTCTCCGGAACCGGAACATCGTCTTCCAAACCTAGTAAACAATTCACCGATGAAGTATCGGAAAATCCCGACGTGGTACCGTTTAGGGCGTTAAGAAACCAATCTTCCGATTTAGTACTGTTTTCTAGAAGCGATCCGATCGAGGAAGCAGATTCTGGTTTCGTCGGAAACAAGAATAAACGGAGCCGTGACGATTTGCTGACATCGGACGATTGATTCAGCCTTTCGTATTCGTCGATCATGTTCTCGAGATCTTCGTCGGTGGTAACGGAGATCAATGAATCGAGATCTTCCGACGGGAGTTGATACTTAAGTGTAAACGAAGCCGTTGTAGATATTAACGACGATGAAGATGAAGATCGGAGGAGGGTTTTGGAGAGGCGTTGAGTGAGGTCTGATAGAGTCGTATGGCGGTCAACAACGACGATTCTTGTATCCCCACCGATGTAGCAGAGAGACTTGTCATGGGGACGAGGGACTATGTGGCCGCCGTAGCTGCACATGAGCCGGAGCTTAGTGAGACCCGCTTGTGGCGCAACTGTCATACTGCCATTGTTAGACGGGTGTACTGAGTTGTCTTCGCCCCAGGAATCGGTGTTGCGGGAACGGGGGGAAGAATCTAGAGACTCGGGATAGGTGGCGGAAGGGGCGGTGGTTGTGGCGGAGAGAGACGGTAGCGGTGGCGTAGGGGTTTGCTCCATTGCTTTACAAATTCTCAATTTGGGGGAGAATGGGCTGTCTAGGAGTTGTGTGCTCTTATTCTTCTCAAAAGAAGGTCAAAGTTTACTTTTTTGCGCTGTCATTTATCTAGCGACCTTTCCTTATAAAAATCAATCCATATATATTTTAAGTAATTATATTATTATCCGATAAATTAGCTAGAGATCACCGTAAAAAATGGTGATTGTATTGGTTAAGGATTCCAAGTCTCCAAACTTTCAAATTTATATACACCCTACGTCCCAATATTAAGTCCCAATATTAAGTAATAATAATTGGGTATTTTGGTAAAAATATTATTTATTTTTAGAAGTAGACTATTATTTTGGGATAACCCAAAAAAGAAAGATGGACTATAATTTTGGGACGGAGGAGTAGATCATTTTATGGATATGTTTTGTTGTAGGTTTTGTTCAAGATTTTAACTTTCATTAAAATGCAATTGTTAGGTCAAACTAGGAAAGGTCTTGGCGTCTTGCACGGTTTAGAATACTTTGGTATTTATCATTTGTTATTTATCTCTTTTTTTTGATACTTAGCTAAAACAATGTGTTACAGTTGTTTAGACAAAATAAAATCTTATATTTTCTTGAAAGAGTAGTCATTACAACATATTTAAAAAAATTTCTTTTTGAATTGAGCACCCTACCTATTTTCTCTAATGAAAACCATTACGTTTGTTTTTTTACAAAATTCTTAAGCTCTTTTGTTGTAGAAAAATTGTTTTTAGAATCGTAATTTATTCACCTTTTGACCTCTCAAACCATTCCAAAAGCAGCTGCATTTACCACTTTTTTATCCGGTAATTGAACCTCCAACACCTTACATTGCCAAAAAAAAAAAAAAATTATATTTTGGTTGTTACGGTTTAACCATAAATATAAATACAGTGTTAACGACATAAATAGGTAACAAACTATTTGTTTATTTGGTAAATAGAATATCTTTGTTTTGAAATACCCTTTTGTTATGACAAAAGTAATCAAATACGAAATTAAACAAACAGAAACATAAATAAATCAAATTTTATACAAAGATTCACAAACCAGAAGAACATACTTGTATTGGATGTTTACAACAGTTTCACTAATCACGAAAAAAAAAGAAGAGATTAATGTCTGCTTAAGACATAAATTTCTCTGGTAGGGATCTATCTAGTGGATACAATAATCTGATCAAGATTGAATCTTGATCATGACGAAATTCTTCATGCTTCCCTGATCTCCCAAAAAAACGAGAGTGAAATAAAGTGGTGTTATTTTGTATGTGATCAACCCATTAATCTGTCAATTGATCATCTATTTATAGCTTGTCAAATAGCAGTTAAAAAACTGCCAACCATTATACATGTTTCAAAACCGAAATTAACTGCCTAATTAACTTCCAATCAGTTAATTAACAATTAACAGATTTTGTAATTAATAAATCAATTTTGGAATTTGTGTATATAAAAATTAAATTAAATAGTAAAGAAGAGCCCAAGAGCCCCAATGCCCAAGGCCGTCTTTTGACCATTAATTAATTTAATGACAAGCCTAATCCAAGACTAATTTGATATTCTAATACCATAATTCTAGCCTAAATGTCTTTTTGTTTTGCTTTATCCATTTAAGAATATGTGGAGACAATGGCTTATAAAGCTAGTCAAGGTTCTTTCTTTCTCCTATGTGGGATAATGTTTTTAAGCTATAAGCAAAGTTCCAACAATACCCCACATTTTCTATTCAAACTCCAACTATACCCCACATTTGAATAGAAAATAAGAGAACTTTGATATTCAAATCAGGAAAGTAGAATATGACATGCATCTGAAGAGGTGTTCAAATCAAGAAACTTGAACCTTTCATAGTGTATACTACTTTCATCTACTTTGAGGGTAGTGAACTAGAGTCTTGAACTAACCACTTTGTATAGTATAGTCAAAACAAGAAGTATCACACATATCATATCTAAACATGGATCATTTCTTACCGTTGTGCACATTTCAGTCGTGAACAATCCTTTCTTCATGAGACTTTTAGAGAGCTTAACCATATCAGCTCCCAAAGATGCGACCTCACATCCATCCACATAAGTAATGCTAATTTGGAACAATATGTATTATTCCACTATAAGAGCTATCAGCGTTATTAAGAATAAAATCCATCTATATATCATCAACGGGAAACACAAAGTAAATATCATATGAGTGAGCAAACTTTTGTGTTAGTGCTACTTTGAGTCTTCCCTAACTTGTTATCCTATTGAACCTAGACCATGGGATTTCCAATGTTACTAGGTTAGGTTTCCGCCAAGTGGTGACTCATTGTGTTAGTTTTAAGCCCATTCCCCTCGAAGTGAATAGAATTTGCTCTCTACTACGGCCTTTTGTCAATGGATTAGCTATATTTTCCTTTGACTTTATGTAACTAATGGAAATGAGTCGATTCTTCAGCAAGTCTCTTATTGTAATGTGTTTGTGCCTAATGTGTATCGACTTTCCATTGTATATCTAACTTTGTGCTCTAGTAAGAGCAACCATGCTATCACAATGTATACCAATAACAGTAACAGGTTTAGGCCACAGAGGAATACCTTCTAGGAAGCTTTTGAGTCATTCAACTTCTTCAGCAGCTTTGTCTAAAGCAACAAACTCTGCTTCCATTGTAGAATGAGTATTCACAATTTGCTTAGATGATTTCAAAAAGATAGCAGCTACACTAAGAGTGAACACATATCCACTTGTGGATTTGCCTCAAAAGTATTGGAAATCCAATTTTCATCACAATACCCTTCAAGAATAGGAGGATATCTCATGTAATGCAATCCATAATTCATTGTATGCTTTAAATATCTAAGCACTCTCACTAATGCATACTAATGATATTTCCCAAGATTGTAGGAGTAGCGGCTCAATCTACTTACATTATATGCTAAGTTCGGTCTTGTATAATTCATAATATACATTAAGCTACCAAGAACTTGAGTATATTCTAACTAAGCTAAACTATCACTGAAACATCCCAAAAATACGGTCCAAAAAATTCGTTTTAAAAATCATTTAAGAAAAACCATAACTCATCAACATCATAATAAAATCACAAGTCATGTATCCCCAAAACATCATATCAAAATATTGTATCAAAATCACGTGACAAAACATCAGAGTCTAAACATCTCAGGCTAAAAACTGTGGTGTGTGTCATGCAGTCATCCTGAGCTCTTCCCGTTGCTAGTGGAAGTACCTGAAACGCAAACTGAAAACTGTAAGCACGAAGCTTAGTGAGTCTCCCCAAACTACCACATACCATACATATAACATGCAACTA